GCAAGCTACTGAGAGTATCGTGCCCACACAGCGGAGCCTGGCAAGCTACCCGTGGCGTACTCGATATGCCAAAAAACAGTAACAATGATGGTCCTCATTCCCCTGACCCTGAAAGAGCCCCCAATATGCCATCGGGCTACACTAGCACATGACAGGGATGGATGGAGACATTACTGGTGCCTGCTCGAGCAACTTGATGAACAACGGGGTGATAGTGACAGTGATAGTGAAATTTTGAGGCTAGAAAGGCCATTATAGTTTCCACCTCGCTTCTCTTGGCGCATACATTCTGGATAAAGCCAACTACCATTTCACAAAAACATTTCAGCAACCAGTGGAGAAGTCCTCAAGGGGGAGAAAAATGGGGTCATTTGCCAAGAACCAGCACAGTGTAGCTCCTTCAGTTCTTATTACGCCATTATCCTGGACAAATTCTGTAATGCAACCATCAGAACAGAAACAGACAGACAGAGCCACCAAATTAAGTTACTCCTGAATTCCTGACTCACTGAACGAAGTTCATGAGAGATACTCACTTTGTTTGTTTCATATAATATCTTTCACTGGCTGGTATTAGGGCATTGCTTGCCTCAGAGTGGGTCGGAATATAGTCCCTGCTATTTCTAGAACTGGAATGATCTGTTTCTCCCCTGCCCCCACCCCACCCCACAAACACACACTTTTTTTTTTTTTAGTTTTTGGGCCAGACCCAGCTGTGCTCAGGGCTTGCTTTTGACTCTGAGCTCAGGTCTCACTCCTATCAGGACTCATGAGGCTATATGAGGTACCAACAATTGAACTGGTGTCAGTTACTTGCAAGGCAACCCCTTTAAACTCTGTGTTATCCCTCCAATTCTCCTTTGCTGCATGAGCTGATCAATGAATCGATCGGAGGCATAGAGACAAGACATGCGAGAGGAATGTACAGAGCATGGAGGGCCAAGGCTCAATATGGCTTGAGGAGAAGAGCAACTGCCAAAGGCCCCTTTTATTCTATTTTTTAATCACTTATATCCTAATGACTTCATCACAGAGAAAGATTCACCAAAGAGAGTACAAACAGTTATAGGATAAGCATTCATCAAAGGAACATCAGGGTATACATTGTCTTCTCAAAGCTATATTTTCATCTGCATGCAAGGCAAAAGCCCTACCTGCTGTTCTCGGACACCGAAAATCAAAGCTATATTGTCAATGCTATGTTGTTATGATTAAAAACGTCAAAGGAAGATATAGAGCTTGGACACACAGGCTCTACAGATTACATATTCCACATTCTTGTGGTTGGTTACACATAGGGCAAAGAGAAGGCTCATACTGATACTTGAAGGTCAATCCAGATTAAGGATGTGTAAGAGAAGGGGAAACTGCTGCCTTGTACTGCCAAGATAATGTATGACCAAGCAGGCATATGAGAGCATGCTGTACTTATCCAGATTGTCAGACTCACAAGTTTTAGCTTGCCCACTTAATGTGAAGGTGGGGCCTCCGTTCTGCTTACTGCTTACAGGGCAGCGTCTAGAGGCTCATCCTAATGTCCTGGCTTAGTAGCAACACTCCTTTAACTTTAAATTTTTTTAATCTTTCTCCTTTTTGTGGGGGCTCAGGGAGATCTTCCAAGCAGTAGTCAAGGGACCCAATGACACTGTTCTGCTCCAACCCAACACTGCCAGAGACCACCAACACCATTCCAGTGTTTCTTGGGAAAACCTTCTCCTAAATTAGTAGGATCCCTAAGAAAACCACCTCACTAGTAAACTAGTAAATAATGAAGGTTATCATTATTAATTTAATTTCTTTGTTAAAAAAATACTTATTTAGATGGCTCTGAGCTCAGAGTCACTACTGATTGTGCTCAGGGGTCACTCCTGGTTGGTGCTCAGGGAACCATATATAGTGCCAGGGATCGAACCACAGTTGACTGCATGCAAGGCAAAAGCCTTATCCCCTGTTCTAGCTCTCTGGGTCTTAATTTAATTTCCTTGGTAAATAGCCTTGTTACAGAGGATGCCAGCTAACATCTGGGTCCTGTGGATTGTGTCAAGACTTGCATACAGGGGGCTGGAGCAATAACATAGCAGGTAGGGTGTTTGCCTTGCACGTGGCTGACCCAGGTTTGATTCCCAGCATCCCATATGGTGCCCTGAGCACCATCTGGAGTAATTCCTGAGTGCAAAGCCAGGAGTAACCCCTGTGCATTGCCAGGTGTGACAAAAAAAAAAATAAGACTTGCATACAGACTTTGGTGATACTACTCATAATTAAGAGCTCTTAATTGAACAGCTTAAACAGGTCACTTCCACATCAAGGAGGGCAACCTTGATTGCCACTCATGCTAGCCTCTACTCGCTTTCTTGGCCCTCATGTTTTGCCATCTATATGGTCTGTGCTGAGGTCTTAATGCATTGTCTGCTCACTCTGCCTGTCTGGTCTGAGGTCCACTGCTTCTGGCTGCTGGTGCTCACTGCCCAGTTGCTCTTTCTTTTTACCATCGGGTGTGTGTGAGAGAGCGTGACCTATCCAATATCTTACATTAAGATCTTACTCATCCCCCTCCTTAGGTATTTCTTTTATCTGACTGGATACATCCCACGTAAGTGTGATTTTAAATGACCAATGTGATGGTCTACACTAACTCCTTACTCTATTTCCCCCACATCACATAAGAAGTTATTTTCACTCCTTATATGATTTTTTTTTCACAAATTGTGTCTTTCAAAGACTCAGTTCATTACATCTAAGTCATAAAATTGGTGGGAAGAAGACTGTTTACATTTTTAAATTATCCTTTTAATATCCATGAGACTAGTAGCGGTGGAATCTCTTTTGGTTTTGATCTTAATAAATTGTATCTTTTTTTCTCTTTTCTTTCTTTTATTTTTGGTGCTTGGAGGTCAAATCTAGGGCCTCATACATTCAAGAACCATTGAGCTATAGCCTCAGCCTGTTATTTTATTAATTAATTAATTAATAATTAATTTTAACCTAAGGGATTTTTTATCTTTTTTTTCCAAAGGATGAAATTTGACTTTTAAATTTCCCCTATTGTCCATTTTTCTGTTTTATGTCTTTGATGTCTGACTTGGTGTTTTTTGGTTTGTTTTTGTTGTTTTCATTGAACCTCCCTGATATATACAGTTAAAAATTTTTTGTGCCCTCCTACTCCATGCCCACATCCCCATGCCCCCACAGCCTATCTCTGTGGTAGATACCTCTCTCTCTCTCTTTCTCTCTCTTATTTTTCTTTTTTTATGTAGGAGTAAAGGTAAAGGCCCTCCCGTTGATCGTCGATTGGCTCGAGCGGGCCCAGTAACATCTCCATTGGAGACTTTGTTGTTACTGTGTTTGACATATCGAATACTCTCGGTAGCTTACTCTCTCTACTTTGATCACATTCAATATTTTGACACCAGACCCACCATTATTATTTGAGATTTTACCCCAACACTCAGATCTGCTGAAAAGGCAACAGTAGACAATTTGTTTTCTATTTCTGGTTATATATGAATAACACATGATGTCGCATGGCTGCAGTAGTGGCTGCGCGATTTTGAAATTCTGAAATTTTAGCACTTAAATCTGGAGGGATTTTTGCCAAAACCTGCCAGGTTCTGAGATTTGCTCCTGAGTCTCTGGGATCCTGGCCGTTAAGCAGCTTGATCAGGAGCCAGAAAGACCGTTCGTGGGCAATGACTTGGGGTCTTATTGGGGTGGAGAGGACAGGACCAGCTCCACCCCCATCCTGTGAGGCCCAAAATGTCTCGTCACTGCGGGCCCAAACCTGACTGTCCAATGGCCTGTGGAGAATGACGGCCACCGAGCTGCCAAGGGGGAAGCAGGTGGAGGGACAGTACACTTTCCCCCCTGGGATGGCCTGGAGACAGTAACCTACTGCGTGGTCCAGACACATTTCTGCCAAAAGCTGCTGGGTTTTGAGATTTGTTTCTGAGTCTCTAGGATCATGGCCATTAAGCAGCTTGATCAGGAGCTAGAGAAGCTGTTCATGGGCGATGACTTGGGGTCTCGTTGGGGTGGGGAGGACAGGACCAGCTCTACCCCCATCCCGTGAGGCCCTGAGTGTCTCATCACTGCGGGCCCAGACCTGACTGTCCAGTGGCCTCTGGAGGATGGCGGTCACTGTGCTGCCAGGGGGAACAGGCCAAGGCACGAAACCTATTCCCACCTGGGTTGGCCCAGCACTGGTAACCTACTGCAGGGATCGGATGCATTTCTGCCAAAAGCTGCTGGGCTTCGAGATTTGTTTCTGAGTCTCTGGGATCATGGCCATTAAGCAGTTCAATCAGGAACCAGAGAGGCCTTGCCTCCAATTATATAGCTGAGCTGGAGGTGGTTTGTGTTTCCCACATACCTAACTTTTGGCCGTTTACTTTCTCGGTAAATTTTGCCCCAAGATTTTGGGGTCTGGCCAAAGGCACAGCAGCAATTTTGGGGTATCTGGAAGTCTGAAGGCGCCATCAGGCTGCTGATGCACTCACCTCACAGGTACAGATTGACCTGCTGGCGGCACCATACCCCCATCTCTTATTTTTCTTTTAGGCACTTTGGTTTGCGATACTTTTACTGAAGATTTATCATGCACATCACTTTACCACCTTTCAGCACTCAATTCTTGTCCAGAGTGATCATTTCCAACTATCACTGAGGTCCCTTCTCTGTCCAACCTGCACTCCCCTCCCCCTTTGTGGCAAGCTTCCTACCATGGACCAGTCCTCCTGTCCCTTGTTTCTGTTGTCTTTGGGCATTATTCTCCTACTATGTTTTTTTTTTTTTCGTATCTCTCAGGTCATCAGATGAGTGCAATCATTCTATGTTTATGTCTCTCGCTCTGACTCATTTTACTCAGCATGATACTTTTTGTGTCCATCAATTTACAAGAAAATTTTAAGACTTCATTTTTTTCTAGCATCTGTGTAATGCTCCATTGTGTAGCTTTACCATAGTTTCTTAAAGCTATGGAACGCTTCAACAATCTGCATGTGGAACACTTCATGAATTTGCATTTAGCATGCCCCCTCCTTGTGCAGGGGCATGCTAAACTTCTCTGAATCATTCCAGTCTTAGTATACATGCTGACAAAGCAAGCACTAACATCTATCTTTATTTTCTTGTGATGCTGAGAACTGAATCCCAGGCCTCAAACGTTTAAAGCCTATGTGCCACTACTGAGTTCTGTTTTGCTTGTACGATTTTATTTCTTCTGTTCTAAATTGCTTTGGATTTAGTTTTTCTTCTTCTAGTTTTCCTAAATTAGATGTTTAGATAATCGATTTATCGTCTTCCTTCCTTCCTTCCTTCCTTCCTTCTTTTTCCCTTTTTTCTGTTAGCAGGTAGGTAGCTGTAGGAACAATTTTGGCAATGATTTTATTTTTTGAAAGCAATGAAGCCAAGATGCGATTTAAAGAAGTTTCCTGTCACTCACCTTAAGGAAGCCCAAAGGCACAAAGGGCCTCTTGAGAAGCAGCCTGATCAGACTAACTGGCAATATCCAGAGAAGGGTGAATCCCCTCAAGGTTAAACTTGGGACACTCTCCACACGCATTAAGGTACTGGCAGAGGAACAAAGGCATGCGGGTCCTGGGGCTGAGATCTCCAAGCCTGCCTGCTCAGATCGGGACTGAGTATCCTCCATCCAGATCCTCCATCTTCCAGGAGGCAGGAGTCACACCCACCAACTGGCCCCTAGCATCGTGTAATCCCATCAACAGTCAAGACCCAGAGACTATAAAACCCAGCTCCCGGAACCGCGTGGCCACATTTGCGGCTGCGCGACATCTTACTATTTCATTCTTACTTTGGACAACCTGGCAGGCTACCGAATGTAACCTGCCCACACGGCAGAGTCTGGCAAACTCCCCGTGGTGTACCCAATATGCCAAATACCAGTAACAATGATGGGTCTCATTCTCCTAACCCTGAAAGAGCCTTGAATATGGCACTTTTTATAATCTCTGGGCTAGGACGAAGGAGACGTTCCTGGGACCTGCTCGAGGCAATCGACAAACAACAGCCTGATCAGACTAACTGACAATATCCAGAGAAGGGTAAACCCCCTCAAGGTTAAACTTCATGAGAAACAAAAGTCTAGAAGAAGAATATAAAGAAAGATCATTGCAACTGAAGGCTTGAGACCAGAAAGTGAGCTAGAGTTGTCACACTTGGTTTTTCTAGTTCTAAGTGATCTTTGTGGTATCTACTCATGTACACAGTCCACATACGTTCAAACCCCTTCACCCCCTCATTCTGAGCCTGGAGAAACCAGGTGGAAAGCAACACTTTGCAGATGTGATGGCTCCTCTGTGGATCTTTACAGTTAAACACTCCTTAAAGCAATTCCCCTTCTCCTAGCCTCTATGCTTTTGTACCTCACTTCTCAGATCTCCCCTGAAGAAGGAGCCTGGGAACGAGAAGAAGGAGGAAGAGTGTAATGTCTGTGTCCCAGGGAATATTGGCATTTAAGGATGTGGCCATAAATAGAGAAGGGGCCACCATGACAACAATAGTTGAAAATGATCATTCCGGACAAGAACTGGGTGCTGAAAGGGGTTAAAGGAATATATGTAATAACTTGTTGGTACCTGTACTGCAAACCATAATACTCCAATGGAAAAAGAGAGAGAGAGTGTGTGTGTGTGTGTGTGTGTGTGTGTGTGTGTTGGGGGAGGGAGGGTAGTGGGAGAAGCAGGCTGTTGGGGGTGGGAGGACTGCATTGGTGGGCTATGTTAGTGGGAGGTAAACACTGGTAGTGGAAAATGTACACTGGTAAAGGGATGGGTGTTGGAACATTGTATGCCGGAAACCCAATCATGAGCAATTTTGTAACTATGTATCTTATGGTGATTGGATAAAAAAAAAAAAGAATCTAACCATAGAGTACTTCTCAGGAGGAGAGAATGAATGCAGCCCAGATGGCCCAACACAAGGAGGTGGGGTTGGAGAACTACAGGAACATCCCTGAGAGAAGATAACACACTTGCACAAGTTAGGACCTGCCTGAGTGAGTCTCTTCAAAGCCCTTGCTTTGCGTGACTGAGATTGAAGACACGTTGACTTCAAAATGAAAGGCTTGATTATAAGGCTCACACATAGTGGTTCTTGGTTGGGGGAGAGGTACTCCTAACAGTGTTCAGATTTGTGGTTCTAGGGATTGAACCCAGTGCTATAGCTTGCAAAGATGTGCTTCAGCCATTTAATCCACCTCCCTGGGTAATTCTTTTCTTTGTGTGTGTGAGGGGAGTGAGAGGAGGTTGGAGACAGTTTGGACCACATCCAGCAATGCTCAGGCTCTACATTTAGGAATTACTCCAGGCAGTATTCAGGGGACCATATGAGATGCTGGGGAGATAAAATCCAGGTTGGCCACATGCAAGACAAAAACCCTATCTGCTGTTACTATTGCTCCGGCCCCTGCATATTTCCTTTTTTAAATTAATTTTTTAAAATGCATTTTCTTTCAGGGGTGGGCTGGAGTGATAGTATAGCAGGAAGGGCTTTTGCCTAGCACGTGGCCAAAGCAGGCATCCCATATGGTCCCCTGAGCACCATCAGGAGTAATTCCTGAGTACAGAGGCAGGAGTAACCCCTGAGCATCGCCAGGTGTGACCCAAAAAGGAAAAAAGAAATCTCTACTAAGAGAAGAATCAGGCTGAAGGGGGCCAGAGCAATAGTACAGCGGGGAGGGCATTTGCCTTGCACACGACCGCCCTGGGTTCAATCCATAGGGTCAAATGGCCGAGTAGACCACCAGTAATTCTTGAGTGCAGAGCCCGGAGTAACCCCTGAGCATCACCAGGTACGACCCAAAAAGAAAAAAAAATGTATTTTCTTTTTAGAGTGCTGTCCCCAGCAGTACTCAGCACTTACTCCCCACTGTTCTCAGCAATCTCTCTTAGACATGCTCGGGGACCATAAGTAGTGCTGGAACTTGAACTTTGGCACAGCAAGTGCCTTAACCCGTTCTCCCAGGCACGGTTTCTTTATGTACACTGAAACCCTCAAATATTTGTACCTTATTTTGTTCCATCTTATGTTGGTGTGGTTTGGGAAGGGCCCTGCGTGATGCTGCCCAGAAAGCCACCCCTCACACAGTGTTCTGTGCTCAGGGGACCACACGCAGGGATTGAATCTGGGCATGTGCCCCAACCCTCGTCCCTCTGGCCTTTCCTTTCCATTCTTGCTTAGAGCTTCCAACTCTATTTACATTGTGCGTCTATTTTCCCTGCTACTCACCTTTGTTATTAAAGCCTTTGTGACCTCTGAGACAGTTTCTAACTGTGAACTAAAAGTAGAACTATCACCAGCCCACAGGAATGCACAGTCTGTTCTGACTGTAGGCCTAAGGTTTTACGAAGTTCTACAAAATTAGCAAAGCCCACCCTGCCGGAGACCTGAGTCTGTAGACCGCACAAGCAGGAGACAAGATAAAACCAGTTTGGGCATCCTCAGGACCTCCCACCTATAGAAACTTTGGCCTTATTTTCACAGTAAAACCTCCCAGGGGTGGAAACTTAAAATAATTTTTAAAAACTTAACATTTAAAAAAATTAAAATTTTTAAAAAAAAATTTAAAACACTTAAAAAACTTAAAATACTAATGAGGGAGCCGGCAGCTAGGACCCCTCCCTCTCTCCTTCCCTCCTTCCGTCCCTCCTTCCCTATTGAAGCATTGGTTCAGCCTCTCCATCCTTAGGGCTGAACAGAGTTTTCACTGCTTTAAATGAGTCACTTACCATATTCAAGGAAAGAACAAAAGGCAATAAGGCAATAAGAGTGGTAAACATTCTTACTCTATTTTAAATTTCCAATCCGTGGCCAAATAGTACTGTGGGGAGAGCGCCCACTTTGCCTGTGATAGGCCTGGGTTCAATCCCCAGCCTCCCATACGGGGCCTCCAGCACCACCAGAAGTAATTCCTCAATTGCAGAGCCTGGAGTAACTCCTGAACATTGCTGGGTGTGACCCCTCCCGCATCCCAAAGCAAACAAATAAATAAACAAATAAATTCCCAATCTTCAAATTCCAAAATTTCTACTTTATCTTGGCCCACTTAGGTGCTTACTTTGTCACTTCAGACTGGTTTTTCACCTTTCAGCAGGGCTTTGTGGGGTTTTTTGTTTCGTTTTGTTTTCTAGAGCACTGACTGTGATGGGGGGAGGGGAAGACATGTGCCAGGCTTCAGTTTTCATATAGGATTTCTGTTTACGTGGCCGAAAGCTAGGCTGTGTTTAAAGTGTGCTTTGCTATGGTGTCAGCGGCTAAATTTTTCTCCTGTTTTTTTTTTTGTCTGTTTTGTTTTGTTTTGTTTTGCGGTGGGGTGTGTGTGTGGGGGGGGAGGAGGGACTTGGTTTTTGGACCACACAGTGTCACTCTACTTCTGAGTTTAGGAATTAACTCCTGGTAAACTTGGGGGACTACACGTGACGCTAGGAAATCAAACCCAGGTCCACCGCAAACACCCTACCAGTTCTATTATCTCACAGGTCTCTGAGCTCTTGGTTTTATCTCCCTGGTCTGGAGTAGGAATTTAAGAATAGAGTTGAGAATTGCAGTTTCCTTGTACTACAGTCCCCATGTTAAGCCAGAGCCCTGTTGGAGTGGTGCCTAAGGTGTGAGAGGAGTGATCCTAAATCCTGTAACTAGTACTCAGGGTTTCAGTCAGTTTGAGTTGCGAATTTCCTTTTTCCTGCAGTGGTCTAGAGAAGGCTAGAGATGGGTGTCTTCTGTTTCTTGGGTGTGTTAGGCTTCAGCAAAACCCCAGTTAGACTGATAAAATAGCTTTTGTGATGGGACAGCCTTGTTAGAAACAGACAGTTCTAGTTCCAGAGCATAATTTTCTTTTTCTTTTCTTTTCTTTTTTGGGGAGTGGGGTGGGGTGGTGTGCTGAACCCAGTTGTGCTCAGGAATTACTTGTGCATGACTCAAGCAACCATATAGGGTGCCCAGGATCAAGCCCAGGTGGGTCACAGGCAAGGCAAATACCCTACCTGCTGTGCTGGGCATATTTCAAAGTAGTTACTTTCCCTCTCTCTGTGGAGGGATTTCTCTCTCATCTTTACAATGGGAATTCTGGATGACTATTACAGGTAAAA